GGACAACCAGGTCATGCTCAGTGGCTTGAGGCTGAGTCTCAAGGTCTTTTCCCCTCTGCCTTCTCACACAGTTGTGGACAAGCTCTGAGAACTTTCCGTGTACTCTTGAAGGCAGTAATCCCAGGGGGATGGAGTGGCCAAGCACTCAGCTGCTAAGTGAAAAGTCAGTGATTCAAACCCACCAGCCATTCTGTGGAGAAAGATATAGCAACTGGTTTTGTAAAGATGGCAGCTTTGGTTACCCCACAGGGCAGTATTTTTTACCCCACCCTATGTGGTTCTCATAAGTCAGACTCAACTCTACAACAATGGGTTTAGTCAAGGAAGCATTATTATCTCCTGGACTTACCAACACTAAAGTGAAATGCTGTCTAATTAGTAGGTGGCGAGGTCTAGGTGAATGTTGGTTTTCACAGTACACAAATGAATAAAACAGCACCATCTGGATGTTTGTCTTTCTGGCCACTGCCCTAGTGTGTGGCCTGTAGAGTGGCTCAGCTGTGAGTGTGCAGTCATCCTGAATCCCTTCAAAGAGAACACGAGGGAAACTTCCCAAGACCCAGGTGCGCCAAGGCTGGCTGCTCACGCTTGGGGTCGTGGATTCCTGTGCCCTGCACAGGCTGGTGAGACGCCCTTTGCTATGTTGGCGGAGATTTCAGTTCTCAAGAACCAGAACAGGAGTTAGTGCAAAAACAAATCCAAGGCAAGACATAACAATGTAAAGTCAAAAGCGTGGACGTTTACAAGATGACCATGATTTGGCTCTTGGTAACACCCTGTTTGGGAGAGACAGATTGCTGGCAGGCAGCTTTGCTCCCGACGTCTTTTTCAATAAGGAAAGCTCTGCAAACAGAGCGTAGCCCAGCATCTGTGTCTTTGCTCAATGTAGGCAATCCGAGTCAGGAGAATTCAGAATCTGTTTTCAATGTGGGAGAGGAGGGAGTTTGGAATTGCAGAAGGAGGTCCAGTTTGATCAGCCCTTTCTCACACTAGATTTTATCTTTTTCTTGCTTCCCGTTCACCGTATGGCACCTGGGGCCGAAAGCCTGCTGTAAGGGAACCCAGCAGAAGTCCCTGCATAGAGTGGGAGAGAAATGTGGAACACCACACACAATTAGATTTCACATCATTCTTTAGAGAGATGAGAAAACTAACCACCAGCTTTACATGGAAAGGAAAAGGACCCCAAATAATGAAAGCACGATTAAAGAAGAAGAAAAAGCTAGGAGGTCTCTCATTTTCTGATCTCAGCACCTACCACAAAACCACCATAGTCAAAATAGCTTGGTCCTGGTCTAATGGCAGACGCATCGATTAATGGGGCAGAATTGAGCCCCCAGAAGTACATCTGTGGACCACTGAGCTTTAACAAAGAGCTGAGCCTCACTGAATGGAGAAAAGATATAGTCCCTTACACCCTACGTAAAAAACGAACTCCAGGTGAGTAAAAAACCGAAATGAAAAAATCAGAACTATGAAGCTCATCAGTGAAGAATTAGGGACAAAATTTGGGGCCGCAATCCACAGCAAAATAATTAGTAAACAACTGAAAACAGCAGAAGGAAAACTGGAAGTCTGGGACCTCCTTACCGTTAGACATCTCTGAGCACCAACACACTTCCCCAAAGGAGGAAAAGCAGAATCCACAGACTGTGAAAAAATGTGAACAATGCTATCTTGGACAAGGCACTAAGCTCTAAATTTTACAGAATACTTCAACACTTAAAAGACAAAATATTCAATTAAAAAATAGGCAGAGGACATGAACAGACACTTTAGCCAAGAAGACATTTAGGCAGCCGACAAACATATGAAGAAATGTTCATGATTCATTGCTGTTGTTTCCACCGCCCCACCCCCACCCCCACCCCGACTCTGCCAAATTCAAAAAAAAAGAAGAAACGAAAAGAAATCAAACTCACTGCCATCAAATCGATGTTGTCTCAGTGACCCTCCAGGACAGGACAGAATTGCCCCGAGAGCATCCGAGACTAACTGTTCACGGGAGTAGAAAGCCTGTCTTTCTTCTGAGGAGTGACTGGTGGTATTCAACAGCTGACCTTGTGGATCGAATTGAATGTGTGTAATCATGAGACCACATGAGAATTGTTAAGTGCAGTCCAATCGGTTCCGACTAGCAGCGGCTCTCTGTGTACATGGGTCAGAAACACCACCCAGGCTTGCCCTTGTGTTTAGGTCCTTGTGTTTAGGCCGTTGTTGCAGCCACTATGTCAATCCATCTCCTCCACTGTCATCCTCTTTTTTTTGGTTGACTTTCTACTTTATCCAAAATGATGTCCTTTACCAGTTCCTCCTTGATGACATGTCCCAAGTGTGTGAGACGAAGTCTTGTTATTCTCCCTTCTAAGGAGCATTCTGGCTGTACTTCTTCCAAGACAGGTCTGTTCTTTTGGTAGTCCACAGCACTTTAAATAAATATTCTCCACCAATACCATGATTCAAATGTATCAATCTTTCTGCAGTCATCCCTATTCATTGTTCCACTTCCACATGCATTGAGCGGCAATCCATCAGCGGGGGCTTCAAGTCCTCTTCACTTTCAGGAAACATTCTGGCTGTACTTCTTCAATCGAGATTGGCTTGTTCTACCAGTGGCTCATAGCGAGCCATGGTGGAGCTGTGGGTTATGTCTGGGCCTGCTAATGACAAGGTGGGGAGCTCAAACTCAAGAGCCAACACTCTGAGGGGCAAAGATGAGGCTGTAT